CTCTGGGAATAAAGCAGACGGGGGCTCCCCACCTCTCAGTCCCAGGCCTGCTCAGCACGCGGAAGTCACCCCTGGTTACAGTGCTGACTGCAGGGAGCTTCTCGTCCGAGTCTGTGCGTCCGCGGCTGCCCATCATGCTTCCCGGGCACGTGCAGGTGCGGCTGGCCCTGCCCTGCTCCCCCACCACACAGCTCTCCAGCCCTAACCCTGTGCATCTGTTCCGGAAGCCGCTGGCAGTTTCTCCAAGCTTTCCAGTGCCTCCCCTCACCCTGCGTGGTCCCTCTCCTGGGGATCACTTAGGGAGCGAATTCATCACTGACGGATGCTCCCACGCTCCAGGGGATGCACCCACGCTCCAGGGGATGCACCCACGCTCCAGGGGATGCTCCCACGCTCCAGGGGATGCACCCACGCTCCAGGGGATGCTCCCACGCTCCAGGGGATGCTCCCACGCTCCAGGGGACGCACCCACGCTCCAGGGGACGCTCCCACGCTCCAGGGGATGCTCCCACGCTCCAGGGGATGCACCCACACTCCAGGGGATACTCTCATGCTCTAGGGGATACACCCACGCTCCAGGGGATGCTCCCACGCTCCAGGGGATACACCCACGTTCCAGGGGATGCACTCACGCTCCAGGGGACGCTCCCACGCTCCAGGGGACGCTCCCACGCTCCAGGGGACGCACCCACGCTCCAGGGGATGCACTCACGCTCCAGGGGATGCACCCACACTCCAGGGGGTGCACCCACGCTCCAGGGGATACACCCACGCTCCAGGGGATGCTCCCACGCTCCAGGGGACGCACCCACGCTCCAGGGGATGCACCCACGCTCCAGGGGATGCACCCACGCTCCAGGGGATGCTCCCACGCTCCAGGGGATACTCTCATGCTCTAGGGGGTGCACCCACACTCCAGGGGATGCACTCACGTTCCAGAGGATGCACCACACTCCAGGGGGTGCACCCACACTCCAGGGGATGCACTCACGTTCCAGAGGATGCACCACACTCCAGGGGGTGCACCCACACTCCAGGGGATGCACTCACGTTCCAGAGGATGCACCACACTCCAGGGGGTGCACCCACGCTCCAGGTGATACACCCATGCTCCACGGATGCACCCATGCTCCAGGGGACGCACCCACGCTCCAGGGGATACACCCACGCTCCAGGGGATGCACCCACGCTCCAGGGGATGCACCCACGCTCCAGGGGATGCTCCCACGCTCCAGGGGATACTCTCATGCTCTAGGGGGTGCACCCACACTCCAGGGGATGCACTCACGTTCCAGAGGATGCACCACACTCCAGGGGGTGCACCCACACTCCAGGGGATGCACTCACGTTCCAGAGGATGCACCACACTCCAGGGGGTGCACCCACACTCCAGGGGATGCACTCACGTTCCAGAGGATGCACCACACTCCAGGGGGTGCACCCACACTCCAGGTGATACACCTATGCTCCACGGATGCACCCACGCTACAGGGGATGCACCCACACACCAGGGGATGCACCCACACTCAAGGGGATACTCTCACACTCCAGGGGGTGCACCCACACTCCAGGAAGCCGTATCCGTGCATTCAGGAGGAGCATTCACAGGGGACTGAATGTCGTGTCTGGGGCTGTCCTGTGAGGGTGGGACACCAGCGTGACAGTCAGGAATGGAACCCTCTAGAACCTGTACAGGGAAGGCAATCCATCATTAAACCTTGCTGTGGGAAGTGGGCTATGCTGGATTTATGGCCTGCCTAAGGGCAGAAGATTCATTCAGAGAGGGCACCATTGTGTAGGGCAGAGGTTCCTAAAGTGTGGTCCCCAACCAAGAGCGTCAGCATCAACTGGGAATGTGGGATGAGTGCACGTTCTGGGCCCCTCCCCAGAATTAGAGTCCCGACAACTGGGGGTGGAGTGATAGGGATGCATGGCCATCTGCAGACCACTGGAGGAGTTCTGAACCTCAGCCACCTCTCCTCTAAACGGGGATGATACTATGGCTTCCGGGAGGAAAATCTCATGCATGGTTGGTGCTCAGTGATCCCCTCACCCAGTCATCGCCAAACCAACTTTTGTGATCCTGTTTTGCAATACTGTTCTGTGATCCCCATGGAATCGGTCATGGATCCCAAGACAAGGGCAAGAGACAAGACAAAGCTAAGGGAAATCCAATTAGAAAGGTTGGTTGGGGCTCTGAATGCCAATCTTAGGATGTTTATTTTATTTTCTAGGACAAGGCAAAAGGATCCTTGTGATTCCAGCGGCCCCTGGGACCATCTCCCAGTCTCTGGACACCTCCCAGTCCCTGGTGAGGATGTTGGAGGAGACTCCACTGAAGGCCAGTGTCCCCTTCTCCCCACCCCTCATCCCCAAGGTAGGTTCATTCTCCGACCCTGCTCCCTCCCCTCTCTGGCCCTGGCTGTGCTCCGGTGGAAGGCAGCAGCCAGAAGGCCCCCTGTGGCTCGGAGGCCCGGCTGCCTGGGGAGGGCCTGGCACATGCCAGGAAAAGGGCCTGGGAGAGCCGACTAGGGGCTGGGAATGCAAGTGCCAACCACTGCATTCCCTGTGCTGAGGGGCACTGGGCAGCCTGGGCCCCGCCCCAGGGACACCCTGGCCACCAGCTGCTCCCCTTCTAGGCCCTTGGCTGCCCCTCACTGCGGGAAGGCACGTTCATATGTGTTCATTTATTGTCCGTATCCCCCACCACCCCGTGTGCGGCGATGTTGACCACTGATTGCCAAGACTAGCACAGTGGGTGTCAGGAGGATTTGCTGAGTGAACACCTAATAAACCACTTATTGGTAGACGGCTTTGGGGATTCTATAAAGCCAGCGCCAAACCTACCAGAGCAACCTCGCGAACATTACTGGGCACCCGAGTGTGTCAGGATCTTATTTACGCTGTAATAACAGGCAGCCTGAGAACCTGACTGGTCCGGGACTTGGCGACTCAGCTCGCCTGTGAGGGCACTTGGGCTCCGAGCGGGTAAGGTACCGAGTCCAAGGTCACACAGCTAGGAAAGAGTGCGGCAGGATCCGAACCCGGGTTAAAGGACTCCAGGCCCAGCGCCCTTTCTATCCAAGCTCCAGGAGGAGCTGAAGCATGAATCAGCCCGTCTCCCCGGGTTTTCTCATTTTCTTCGTTGGGTCCCAGAGTCACTGAGACTCATAAACTAAGAGACTCATTAAGAAAACAAAGCGTAGAAACCTCCAGCAAGCCTTTTCAGCTTCACTGATGTATAATTGACAAATAAAACCGCCAGAGGAGTCTGAGCTCTCAAACTGAAGGGAGAATGAGCGCCCTGAAGAGGAGCTGATTTTCACGTTGTTTACGTACCAGCTATACGGCACGATTGCTCGATCCGCGGGCTCTTTGGGTAAAACCCTGGGAAACTTCCAGTTAAAATGAGGAACCCAGTAAGGATGTCTGTTACCAGTATTATTCAACACTGACCTAAAGCAGGCGACACAGTGAGATGTGAAGCCATTAGGTGGTGGGAGAGACACAGCTGCTTCTCAAGGACTCTGTGTCACCCTGCGGTTAACAGCGCAGAGGGTCACACACAGGTGATTTACTTTCCAGCCGATGAACTGCCTTCGGTGCCTCCGTGCTCCAGCCCCACGTACCTTTCTGCCTTCCCCTCCGTGGTGCCACCTCACAGACTCGACCCGAAGTCAAGACGACCTCTCATCTGAGTCTTTACTCTCCCCCGCACCCGTCTTCTGCATCTCAATACTTCAAGGCTGAGTATAAGTGCCACCTCTTCCAGGAAGCCCTCCCTGCTTCACTCAAAGATCTGGAATCCTGTGCTTACTCTGAGCTTCTCTTACGTACCAGTTCCAATGATCTACTTATGGACCAGTTCCCCCCACTGGACAGAGAGTTTCTTGAGGGTAGGGTGTACATCTTAACTTTCTCTGCCTAGGGTCTGGCACAGTAGGTCTCAACAAAGCTTTACTGAAAGACTGGCTGCCTCCCATCCTGAAGAGGGTCTGTCTCATCCCATCAGAAATAAGCCATGGAGGTGTCGAGTCAGTGGTCCCTGGTAGTAGCTTGCCCTACAAGCCCTCGTCAGCTCGGTGCTCAGTGAGTAGGGACGAAGATGTTATTGCCAGACACCAGCTCGGAGGCAGAAGTCCCCATAACTCGGGAGACCAGACTTTCCCTTGTAGTTCGCACCCATCGAGGAAACAAGACGCCATTACTAGCAGCGGCAGGGCCCAGGAGCCCTGGCATGTCTGCAGCCCTCAGGCGTGGCAGAATGCCACCCCACTAACAAAGCCCGAGAGCTCCAGTCCTGTACCTGGGTCTCGAGGAAAGCCTGTGAGCTGGGCAGGGCCAGGCGGGGTGTGTCCCCTTCGATGAAGAGGCTGGGGCAGGACAGGAGACTAGGTTTGGATGAGGCTGGATCTGGGTTCTGACACATGGAGCCCACTGAGCTGTGCTGCTCTCGCACCTCTTGTGAGGACCCTTCTCACAGATGCTGGGCTGGGGGACCCTGTGCACAGAGCCAACCCTGAGGCTGGGGAGTGGGGTGGAGAGGAGGGAGGCCCTGACCTGGAGCTCTGAGCACCCGCCTCGGGGACTCTGGAAAGCAGGGGAGGGGCCCCTTAGGACTTGGTCGAGTGAGGCTTCCAAGGTAGAAGACAAGCGTGGACCAGAGCCGGGCCGTGGCGCTAGGCAGTGGTGCCCGGCCTTTCTCTGTCCACTCTCTCCCGGTGGCATCTCCTGTGCGGTCCACAGAACCCGGCGAGGGAGGCAGGCTGTGGCTGGTTCTCCCCATCACAGCGGGACAAAGACCGAGGCGAGGGGCTGTCGTGCCAGCACACCAGCCTGGGTGCCACCTGTAAAACTGGCAGTGCCGGCGAGACGCGGCCATGGTCCTTGCAGACTTGGCTCAGGTACGACCACCTCCCACGACCATACTCATCATGAGAACGGCAGAGAGGTTTTTAAAAAAGTTCTCTTTGGTTTTACACATATTTAAAAGGACCACCTCTACTAGTGGCTCAGAGACCCTGGCCCGTCAAGGAGAAAAGGGAATGACTAGGTTAATCAGGTGACATGGGATTCTGGGAGGCATGGAAGGTGGGCCCCCAGGTGGGAGGGGGAGTTAGTGCCTCTCTCCTTCTTCACGCTCCTTCTGGCTGCTCCTGGGACCTCAGTGACCTTGTTTCACCTGGAGGAGGTGAAGGGAGGCCTAGGGTGCGGGGCCTGTGTGTGCGAGGCAGGTGCTGTGTGGGCCAGCTCAGCCACCAGGGTTCTGAAGGTGAGTGAGGAACCTGGGGGACGAGGCTCCGGAATGTTTCCAGAACCCCTGTAGCCAGAGGCCTCACTCGGGCCAGGAGGCCTGGGCTGGAAGGAACCTTGAAGGTCTCAAAATCCAACCCCCGATCTGATGCCTTCTCCCATTCCAGTGTAGCCCTCTGGCTTTGCTTGTTCACCTCCAGTGATGGAGAACTCAGTGCCTGCCTGGACTGACTGAATTCGCACTGACAACCTGACGCTCTCACCCTTTGGTTCTGATCCTGGGAAGGAACACAGCAAGCCAGTTTCCAGCTCTCCATGGTGGCCCTGCTGCGACCTTCCCAGGCTCCGGTCCTTTATCTCCAGGGGGCCATCCATGTCCCAGGTCTGATCCCCATTCCCTCCCATCCTGGTCAGTCTATCTCAATACTCAGGGCTGGAGGGGTGGCCAGGCCTCCAGTGCCACGTGATCGGTGCAGAGAGAACAATTCTGCCGCCACCTCCTTCTGGATCCTCTGCCTGTGTGGGCCCAGCCCAAGGTCCTGCCACCCTAAGCTGATGGCCGCCACAGTCAATCTGTCAGCCCTGCTCAGAGCACGCCAGCCCCAGCCCGTCACTGTGCCTTGGGATCTTGGACACCCAGGGCAGGGCCTCCTCTCATCTGGGGTGGCGCGCCCTCAGGGCACAGGTGCAGCTGCTCGTCCCCAGGGCCCTAAGCACTTGTCTCCACGATGCACTTGAGGAACATGGTGTCGTCCTTCACGTAGGCGTGCTTGGGCGACTGCAGCCTGCTCAGAGGGAAGAAGAGTGGGCAGCCGCTGGCCACGTTGGTCTCACTCTGGGGACGCTGGAAGGACGCTGAGCTCAGGTCAGGCCGGAAGGCATCAATGGCGTGCTCACGGTTGTTCTGGTCCAGGAGCATGAAGGTGACCTGTGGGCCAGAGCAGGTGGGCAGTCAGGCTGGGCGGCGCACCAGGGGCTCAGGGCTGCGTCTGCCTCCGTGCAGCCCCTCTGACCCCGAACTCAGGCTGCTTAGAAGCCCCGGGGTATGGAAGCCCCTGGATTTCTGAGCAGGCTTTAGGGGTTGTCCTGTAATTAAGGATCTGATGGTCTCATCAGAAGGAAGGGGGAATTCGGATGCTACAGTCAATTTTGCTTGGCTGTTGGGGGCAACAGGTAGGACTGAGCCCTGACAAGGAGGCTGGACTCATCCTCTGTAAGGTCCCTTCCCGCTCAGAGATAGTTCTAGTCCAGTTCGCTGGAACCTCCTGAGGGAGGCAGGGGGTGCGAACAGACAGGTCTGCTGAGGAGCTGTCGGTCAATGCCTGGAAATGTGAACCGAGCTTCTGTCTGATATGTGTGTCCCCCAGAGGCTGACGATCTCGGTGACACGAACCCTCTTCCCTGGTGCATGTCCCTGGAATGCCCATCAGGACATGGAATGTCTTCCCATTGCCCACCGCAGCGGTTCGCAAGCTTGGCTGCACTTGGAATCCCCTGGAAAGGTTTGTAAATCCTGATGCTCAGGCCTCACCATTTACTGTAGTGAGACCCTGTTGCTGGTACTTTAAGAATCTCCCAGCAGGTGTGAGAACCACTGACCTACGGACTCATATCCAGGCCTCCCACCCTTTTAAACAAGTTTAATAGATTTTATTTTATTATTTTTTTGTTAATCCTCACCGGAGAATATTTTTCCATTGATTTTTAGAGAGAGTGGAAAGGGGGGGTCAATGTGAGAGAAATATTGATGGCTGCCTCCCGCAAGACCCTGACCGAAGCCAGGGATAGAACCTGCAACCCAGGTACGTGCCCTTGACTAGAATCGAACCTGAGACCCTTTGGTCTTCAGGCTGATGCTCTAACCGCTGAGCCAAACTGGCCAGGGCAATAGACTTTACTTTTTTAGAGCAGTTTAATTGACTGGAAAATACAGAGGTTTCCCATACACCTCCTGCCCCCACAAAACTCCCTCACTACCAATACCTGTATCACAGGGAGACTTGTGTTACAATCGATGGACCTATACTGACACATTATTATCACCCCAAGTCCATAGTGTACCTCAGGCTTCACTCTTGGTGTTGTACATTCTATGGGTTTGGACAAATGTGTACTAACGTGTATTCATCGTTACAGTACACAGAATAGTTTTGCTGCCCTAAAAATCCTCTGTGCTCTGCCTATTCATCCCTCCCTCCCCTCGGCCTTGGCAACGCAGCCTTGTCAGATGGCTACTTTCACTCAGCAACCTGCATTTAAGTTCCTCCGCACCTTTTCATGGCCTGAGAGCTTGTTTCTTTTAGGTGCAGAATAATATTCCACTGTCTGCATGTGCCATGGTTTGCCTGTCCATTCACCTGCTGAAGGACACCTTGGCGACTTTTGAGTTTGGCAATTATGGATAAAGCTGCCATGAACATTCTCGTGGAGGTTTTAGTGTGGACCTGTTTTCAACTCATTTGGTAAACGCCGGTGAGCGTGACTTCTGGATCACGTGGTAAGAGTACGTTTAGTTTTGTGAGAAACTGCATTCCCAGCAGCACTCGGTGAGTGCCCGTTGCTCCACAGCTTCGTCAGCATTTGGTGGTGTCGGTGTTTTGGTTTTGGCCATTCTGACAGGAGTGTAGTGGGATCTGCCTCCCTCCCTTTTTCTGAAAATGATGTTAGTTCAGGCTGACCCCACAGCACCGCCTCCAGGAAGTGTCCTTATTCACCCCACCCTGTGAATTTCATTTCTACCTGCCTCCCTGGGGTGCTGGCCCAGGCATTTTTGCCCCTGGACTCACTATGCTGCAGGGAGCCTTCGCTACCAGGTGTGAACTCAGGGTCTTGAGAGGAGAAGGTGATAATGCGGAGAGTGCAAAGGACTTGCCCAGGTCAAACCAGGACCAGGACCCCAGCTCCCTGTCCCCTCTGCGCCCCTTAGCCCGTACCTTGTTCCGGAAAGGCCACGGCAGCAGAGCATCGTACTCCCCCTTCATTATCACGATGAAGAGCGACAGGTGGGTCCTCTTTCCTGTCCCGTCCCCATTCAAGTAGAGCCTCAGGCACAGCTTGTAGCCATACTTGGCAGTGTAGAAAGCTGCAACGTGGAAGCCAGAGTCAGCAGGGGCGGCTGGAGAGGGGCTGGCACTGCCGGAGAGGAACCAGACAGCGCTAGGCATGCCCAGGGTCATGGGTGCGGAACTGAGATCCGGGGTTGGAGCCCAGGATTCTTCTCAATTACACACCGTCCAAGAGGACCCAGACCTTGGAGCTCATCTAGCCCAGTGGCTGTCAACTAGCCATTAGAATCACAGGTTGCCAGGCCCTGGAGTTGTGGGCTCAGAAGTGCTGGGTGAGGACTGAGCATCTGCATGTCCAACAGGGGACAGTGATGCTGGTGACCCGGGGACGACACTTTGGATTTTACCAACCTGCATTTCGCGGTGGGGAAACCGAACCCAGCCAGCAGAAGTGTCTGGCCTCACAGGTGCAGGGGCAGAGCCAGGATTAGGGCCAGGTCTCCCACATCCCCACACGGACTTCTTTCTGCTGCCCTGGGCCCAGGGCTTGGGCTCTGGAGGCTGGGGAAGCGTGGGGCGCTTCCCAGTTCTGCCAGCCACCCTCCACAAAGGCCCTCGAGGGATGAATCACCCCTGCTGACTCAGCACAGGAGCCTGTGGGTTCTCTCCTTCGGCAGCCGAAAGAGCCATGCAGTGTGGGTTCCAGAAGCTGTCACCACAAGGGCCCCTGTGGGAGGTGGTGACTGGGGACAGGGTTGGGGGGCAGGCAGGAGGGGGCGGAGAAGGGACAGATTGACAGTGTGACTCGTCCTGCCCCTTACATTTTAGTAAAACAGGAAGTCAGAGACACTGCTTGCTTTGTCCCTCTTTGGGAAGAAGAGAGGACAAAAGCCTACGTGTTGCAGGTGAGGCCACCCATGAAGGGGCTGCCCCTGCTCCTGGGCGAAGGAGCCTGGCTCTGGGACCCAACCCTACTCTGGTGTACGGAGAAAACTGATGCTTCTCTCCATCCTAGTCCTGTTGGCCTTGGGTCATCAGAGGAGCAGATGGGCAGGAAAGGTATGAAGCTGGGGCCAAGGTGAGAGGTCGTTCAGGTCGTCATCTGCAGAAATCTTCCTAATGACCTCCCCGCCCCCTTCACTTAGACGCGCATGAATGAGGAACAGGGAAGAGCACACTGGTCGGAGAATTCTATGCACAAATATACACGTTGTTTTACAAACAGAAATCAGTTAATTAAGGGAACCATCTACTGAGCAACTACTTTACGCAAGGCGTTGTGCCAAGCCCCGGGGCTCCAGGAACGAGGAGGAACTGGCTGGTTTACACTGTCCTTGCTAATGTGCTGCCCGCACTCGGACACTGATGCTCCACGTGCCTCATTTCGGACCACTGGCTCTCTGAGGGCAGGGGCCCCGCGGTGTCCGCCGGTGAGAACTGTCCTCCCAGCCTCTCCGTGCACAAGTGTCGGTCCACGGCACACTGTCTTTCACATCCAACATCCACTCGAGGTCAGTAACAATTTTATTCCTATCTGCAGAAGGTGCCTGCTACTCGGGGCGGAACGCACGGCAGCTCAATAGCCTACGCTCCACGTGTCTGGGCTGGGCACCTGCCTCCTCTGCGGTCCCAGCGAGGCAGGTGGCCTGGAGGGACAGCAGCCTATGACACAGTACAGACTCACAAAATCGGCTGCTCCCCATGCTGTTTTCTGCGCCTGCCCGGGGGGTCTCTGTGCCCCTGGGGAGGTGTTACCTGGGGAGAAGAGGCTGACGGTCCTGCCGCAGGCCGACTCGTGGCACCGCCTGGTGACGTTGGTGATCTTCCACAGGAAGGTGCCATCGAAGGAGGCCTCCTCCATGAGGCGCAGGCTCTGCTCCAGCTTGCCCAGGGCCTGGTCTTTCTGGGCCAGTGTCTGATGTAAGTCCACCACCTGTGGGGAAGCCATCCAGTCAGGGACACCAGAACCTGGCTTAGGCACGTCATCCGCCTTTGCAGGCGCTGCACCTCCTGCCTGGAATTCCTTTTCCTTCCTTCTCCACTGGCCAACTCCTATTCATCCGTCAGAAATCCAGGTCACATAGCCCTTCCTCTGGGAAGCACTCAACCACTTTCCTAGCTTAGCTGGTCTCTCTCTTTCATCTATGTTCTTATAGAGACTTTCTGGCAGTTCTAGGAAATTTGTTGTTCTACCTTTCCAGCCACGGGACAGAGGAGACCCCCCCGAGCCAGCCTGAGGGCAACCTTGTTTCTCCCTGACTGAGGGCTGGGCCCATGCTCATCTCCTGTCCGTGTGCCTGCCTTGCGTGGTGCCTGGCATGTAAGAGTAGAGCCAGGAAGTTTGCTGATGATCATGGTCACTGCCCTCAGGAAGCCCACCTTCTAACTGGGGCAAGAGTTATGTGAACAATGGCTTTACTCGGTCACCCGAACCCAGTGCCTGACTCTTCTGGTAGGGATCTCCATTCACATTTGAAATAATACAAATATGTTCTTGGCTGTGCTCATGTTGGGAAGTCAGGAGTGGAAGTGAGTATTCTTAAAGAAATTGAATCGCTACTTTTACTGATGAGAAAGCTGAAGCCGTAAGAGGGAAAGTGATTTGCTCAGACCTACATAGCAAGTTAATGGTGGAGCTGGAACTAAAACCCAGGCCTAACTCAACATGAGGCAGTGATGTCATGTTGCCGGGGGGAAAAAAAAAGAGAGAGAGAAAAGCAACATTAACAGGGTGACTGGTTATATTAAGGAAAGTATAAGCTTTGGAACAAAGGAGGGGACGATAGTCCTGCTCAACCAAGAACTGTCCGATAAGTGATTATCTGCAGTTGGTCTGGGACCACCGTTCTGAATGTGTGGAATCCTTTACAGCCTGGGCCAGACTGTACGAGAACAGCACGAAACAGCATGCTGTGATGAAGGGGTGAAGGCACTGGGGCGTTCAGCCTAGAGAAGGAAATACTCAGGTGAGATACAATCACTGACTGCTCATCTCTGAAGGGCTTCCACAGGGTCTAGAAGGCAGATTGTGTTGTGGGCCCTGAGGGGCAGGGCCAGGAACAATGCAGGGAAGACCAAAGAGGCTGATCTCCATTTGGTGTGAGAAGGAGCTTTCTAACAATGGAAAGTGTCCAGCGATGGAATGAGCAGCTTGGGAAGGGAGTATTCTACCAAGGGAGAAATTCAGGCAAAGGAAATGAAGCATTGGATGGGGGTTTGACCTTAACCTTAACTTCTAAGTGCTCCACCTAGGGATCCTGGGACACAGGAGATACTTGATGGGGTAGTGACTGCTATAGGCAGGGAGAAGGCTTAGGAGGAAGGCTGACCCACTGCTCTGGAGACAAGACAGGACAGAGGAGAACCCCCTAGCCAGCCCTGAAGGCAACCTTGTTTCTCGTGCTCACCCTCTGTTCCAAGCTCAGGATGAGCTCGCGGTCCAGCTGGCTCTGGTGGATGGAGGCAGCCAGGGCCAGGTGGGAGGCCTCCACCTCCTTGTTGAGGACGGCGACAATATTCTCAAACACACGCAGCTTCCCCTCCAGGTCAGCCAGGAGCTTCTCCTTCATGAAGTGCTGCAGGGTCGACTCCTCCTGGCTCTCAGCACAGGGTGCCCGGTAGCAGTCCACCTCCAGGTCCCCAGCCACCTCCACGGCTGCCTGCAGCTGCAGGTCTGACAGGTTCCGCTCCAGGGCCATGGGCCCTGACCCCAGGCCTGAGCCCAGCTGGGCCTTCCACTGTTTTATGAACTCCAACAGCAGGGTTAGATGGGTGGCCTGAGAGGTGACCTCATGCTCCTGCATGAACTTTGCACTCCCCTGCCAAGAGAGAGGGGCCATTCAGTGAAAACAGAGAAGGTTCCCAAAGGAAGTCCGATCCATTCACCCAGCAAAGGGGAAGTTGCTTGGTGTGTGCGAGAGGGACTCGAGGGCCCTGGCACCAGACGCCCCACAGCGGGCCTCTCTAGAGCATCCATGCTGCCCTGCCTTTGAGTGCAGTGATGATTCAGGACCATGGAGAGAGGCATGGGGGTGGGGTGGGGGCGTCGGTCATTTTAGAGATGCTACAATGCTGAGATGAGACATTAAGAAAAACTCTCCTGAGTATGGAAATGATTTATTAGTGAGACTTGTTGCTTGAGAAGGTCATTCATGTAAGGGACACCCAGAGGAGTAGCTTGATGTGGGAAAATCCTGGAGGGGCTGAAGTGGGGAGACCCAGTGGTCTAGGGCTGCAGTGGACAGATGGCATTTCTCACACTCAGATGCTTACCTTGAAGGAGCAGCCAACACCTGCAAAGGGGCACCCGACTCCATCTGCAGCCCCCTCAGAGTGATCCTGGAAATGATAACATCACCGATGTTAGGGGAGCCCCGTGAGACCATGGTGGCTCTCTGCAAAGCACCAGGATCCCACAGGGCATGTGCTGGGCTGGCCACAGGGCTCTGCACATGCTGTTCCTTCTGCCTGGCTGACCCCTGTGGTGGCCCTCCTTCGAAACAGGCTCGGGGCCCCTGCTGCGATCCCGGCCAGCGGGGCTACTTGGTTGCCCCGCAGGTCGGGGGGCTCTGGGAGCTCTGTTCCTCGTGCTGAGGGCAGGGCCTGGCACAGAGGAGACACTCGGGACATGCAGGCTGCGTGAGTGGCACCTCTCTCCTCCTGAAGCCTACGGGGAAGCTCCTGACAACTGCCACGTGCATCCCTCCGTGGCAATCTGCCTCGGCTGAGGGGCGCCGGCCCCACGCTGCTCTCCTCCCGCGTGATGCACAGCCCGAGGGCAGGGACGCAGAAGGGTCTCAGTACTCAACACCAGCTTGACCACACTGTTAGCCTATTTACAGGTGCGAAGAGTTTACAAACTGCTTTTGTGGTCATAATTCTTCCTAGGGCCCTGACAATGCCACAGGGACAGCAGGGTAGGTATTTTGTCCCCATTTTACTGATGAAAAAACCGAGGCTCACAGAGGGTAAGGGATTTGCCCACGGAGGAACAGCACAGACGTATCACTACAGTGGACCCCTGAACACCATGGGTTTCAACTGTTTGGGTCCACGGATACGTGGATTTTTTTCCCATAAAGGCCTGTACTGTTTTTGATCTGCAGCTGGGAATCCGGGGTGCAGGGTGCTGTTTGCACTGATCTGTGCTATTTTATACAGGGAACTTGAACAGCCGTGGATTTGGGTATCTGTGGGAGGTCCTGGAACCGATGTCCTGTGGGTACTGAGGGGCAGCTGCGGTAGTTACGTTTTGGGGCGGTCAAAAGTTACACACAGATTTTTCTGTGTGTAAGGGGGTTGGTGCCCCAAACCCCAGCATTGTTCAAGGGTCAACTATAACTCTTATCAAGAGTAAGCCCATGGGGAACTGGGAGAAAAGATTTTCCCCAAAATGTATATCTGGAAACGGCTTGTATCCAGACTATGTAAAGAACTCTTTCAATTTAGTAATAAGAAGACACCTGCCTAATAAAAATGGGTAAAATACTGAACAGATGCTTCACAAAAGGACATACATAAATGACAAGCCTATGAAAAGAGGCTCAACGTTACGAGTAACAGAGCAATGCAAATGAGAATGACATGCCATCATGACACACCATCACCCACCCACTGATGGCTAAGATTCAAAAAGAGCACCGGCACCCCCTTCGGGCAGGGTGTGGAGGAGGTGCAGTGTGTGCAGGTTGCCGGAGGGAACCCAGCATGATACAGCCCCTTTGGAGAAAGTCGACGGCAGTATCTCATAAAGTTAAATCATACTTACACAGCAACTTACTTATAAACCATGCTTATAAAGTTATCATACAAGCCACATTCCACGCCTAGGAATTTACCCAAGAGAAACTGAAACATATGTTTATGTGTGCATGTGAATGTTCATGGCAGCTGTGTTCGTAACAGCTCCAAACTGGAAGCAGTCCAAATATCCATCATCTGCTGAATGGATAGTGGGTTTTGTTTTTTTTTCTCCCTAGAACACTACTCAGCAGTCAGAGGGACCAAAACACTACATGCAAGGCCAAGGAGGACCCTCCGAAACATTATGCTAAATAAAAGAAGCCAAACACAAAACACTATACACCATGACTCCATTCTTAGGAGATTCTGGAAAAGGAAAAACTAGTGACAGAAAGCCTATCAGTGGCTGGGGGGCTGCAGCTGGGGAGCCTGACTAACCAGGGGCACAGGGAGACAGTCACCATCTTGACTGTAGTCGTCACACACTTGTGTAAACCAGCCGGCATTCAGCGAACTGTACACTTAAACGGAGTGAATTTTGCTGCATATAAATAATATCTTGATTTTCAAACAGCTTTGTTGTTGTTCTTTAAAAAAGAGTAATCGAATCGGGCAAGATGGAGATTCGGATTAAAAAAAGGGGGAGGAGAGAAGTCTTTTGGGCTGAGCAAACACAAAGCTACATTAGTTATTATTCTTTAAAAGTAAAAGAAGCAAGCGCTGTGGGCTTAAGGAGTATGGTTGGCGTAGGACACAAAACACAGTCCAGCAAAGGCCACCCCCCTTCGCCCCACTACCCCGGGGTCCAAGCACAAGATGTTCCTGACAAGGAACAGAAAACAGATGTTTCCCTGGGGGCGCGGGCAGAGGGCAGCTTTGGCAGGGAGACGCTGGCATAGGGGGAGGGCAGTGAGGCCGCCTCTCCCAGAGAGCGGCTTCCTGACCCGGGGAGCAACAGAGGGGCTGATGCTTGGCGTGGACCTGGTCCCTGCAGAATGGACTAGGGGACCTCCCAGGCCCTGAAACTCCTTCCAAATCCATGACTTGAACCCTCTGCATTTCTAAGGCGGATGTGAGAGCCGTAGAAAGGGTAAAAGGTAGAAGAGACGAAACGGTGTCCAGAGCCACCAGGCAGGGAAGGTGTGGGAGACTGTTTGCATGGCATCCATTTTGCTAAAATCTGCTCTGCCATCTCCTGCCCCAAGGCAGGATACCTCTATATACAATGTTTCTGCATTCCTTTAAGTAACCATTTACTCAGCCAGTTATGCTCTGTTTATCTTTTGTTCCACCCGGTATATTTACGTGATATTTACCTGAAATTGCTTGGGGTGGTTACCACAAACTTATCGCTTGGCAACAAATGTTCTTGTTTTTCTGCTTCTTGCCCTATATATACTGTGGATCTCCCCAGAATAAACGAGACTTGATTAGAGCCCTGTCTTGTCTCCATTTCTCGTGTCTCTTGTCCCTCCTCATCCTCACTCCCCCTCTAGAGTCCTCGTTGCTCGACCTGCGGGACGGGTCAGGAAGGGGCCTGCGTCCTTCAAGAAGTGTCGTGCAGTGCAGTGTGGAGGTAGGGGCGTCCTCCTTATGATGTGTGGGCGGACGTGGGCTGTGATTAGCCTCTAATGGCTGTCAGAAGATGGGCAGGGGTGACTTGAGAGGCGTTCAGAGGCCTCGGTGGCCGGCCAGCCTGCCCACAGTTCCATCATCAGTTAGCCACTCATTCCCTGGAGGGCTACAGGGGTCAGGGGTGGGCTCTAGAGCAGGCCTGTCAGGGTACAAAGCCCATTTCCGTCACTTCACATACTAGCCGTGTGGCCTCTCCACGTCTCGCTTTCCTCTTCTGAAAAATGGGGATAATAACAGTCACCCCACCCCTTACAGAGTTATTGTGAGGATTAAATGAGATAGCACATGGAAGTTCTGGTCTTAGTCACAGACTGCTGCTATAATAAAATGCCACAAACTTAATGGCTTAAAGCAACACAAATTTATTATCTTACAGTTCTGTAGATCAGAAGTTCTAAATATCGCCCTGGCCTGCTTGGCTCAGCAGTTAGAGTATCGGCCTGCAGACCAGTGAGTTGTGAGTTCGATTCCGACCAAGGGCACGTACCTCGGTTGCGGTTTGTCCCTGGCCCTGGTCAGGGTCATGCGGGAGGCAACCTGTCGATGTGTCCCTCTCACATCGATGTTTCTCTCTCTCTCTGTCTCTCTCTGTCTCTCTCTCCCTCTCCCTCCCTCCTCCTCCTCCTCCCACTCTATCTAAAGATAAATAGAAAAATATCCTCCAGTGAGGATTAAAAAAAAAAAAAGAAGTTCTGCCCTGGCTGGTTTGGCTCAGCAGTTAGAGCCTCTGCCTGCGGTCTGGAGAGACCCGGGTTCGGTTCCTGCTAAGGGCATGTACCTCGGTTCAGTTTGTCCCCGGCCCTGGTTGGTCGTGCAGGTGGCAACCACTCGATGTGTCCCTTTCACATTGATGTTTCTCTCTCTCTCTCTCTCTCTCTCTCTTCCTCTCTCTCCCTCCAGCTCTATCAGAACAAAAAATGAAAAAATGTTCTTGAGTGAGGATAAAAAAAAAGTTCTAAATATCAAGGTGTGGACAGGATTATGCTCCTTCTGGGGCTCTAGGGAGAATCCATTTGCTTATTTTTTTCCAGCTTCTAGAGCCCGCCTGCATTCCTTGGCGCACAGCCCCTCCTCCATCTTCAAAGCCAGGAGCATAGCATCTTCCAGTCGCTCTATGACTCTCTCTAGCCCCATAATCTCCTCATCTCAGGATCCTTTTTTTTTATCCTCACCTGAGGACATTTTTCCATTTTTTGTACAGATAGAGTGGGAGGGAGGGAGAGAGGGAGGGAGGGAGAGAGAGAGAGAGAGAGAGAGAGAGAGAGAGAGAGAGAGAGAGAGAGAAACATCGATGTGAAAGGGACACATCGAGTGGCTGCCACCTGCACGACCAACCAGGGCCGGGGACAAACTGCAACTGAGGTACATGCCCTTAGCGGGAACCGAACCCGGGTCTCTCTGGACCGCAGGCCGACGCTCTAACCGCTGAGCCAAACCGGCCAGGGCTAGGATCCTTAACTTAGTCTCATCTGCAAAGTACCCTTTGCCACTGTGATGGGCTGTTATACCCCCCAGCCCCCCACCACCAATTCATACGTCGAAGTCCTAACTCCCAGACTGTGACGGTATTTAGAAATAGGGCTTTTACAGAGGTAATCAAGTTAAAATGAGGTCATTGGGGTGGGCTCCAATTGATACGACGGTGTCTTTGTAAGAAAAGACAACCTGGTCTCAGGCGAACGGAGGGAAGACGTGAAGATGAGGGAGAAGGATGGCACCAGCCTCTCCAGGCCAAGGAGACAGGCCTCAGAAGAAACCAGCTTTTCCTGAACTTCTTGCCTCCGGATCTGTGAGAAAACACACTTCCAGTTCAGGGTGCCCGGTCTGTGGCACCTTGTTATAGCAGCCCGAGTAGACTGATACAGCCATGTAAGGCTGTATTCATAGGGATTGTCATGTGTGCACATCTCTGGGGAATATCATTCTGCCTCACATAATACTCAAGAAATGTTCATCAGTATTAATACTAGTATTGGGTCCAGCCAGTGTTTGAGCTGTTGACCCATGGACCAAGAGGTCGCTGGTTCAATTCCCAGTCAGGGAACATGCCTAGGTTGCGGGCTCATCCCCATTGTGGATATGCGGGAGGCGGCCAAGCGATGTGTCTTTCTCATCGATGTTTCTGTCTCTCTCTCCCTCTCCCTCTCCCTTTCTCTAAAAATCAATAAAAACATATTAAAAAATACTAGTATCAGTATTGGTATTCCTATGGATTAGGCACTGCCCTTGGGACCCTCTTTCCCGCTTCTAATGGCTGTCATATACACACATTTCACTTATCCTCACATCTCAAACTTTTAATAACCATTCTACAGAACAATGTTTTCCCCTTGGATTTCCCGAGGAGGTGTGGTACATCCCCGACTGTATCTGCATTTGTGTGGGACCGGAGCGCTCCGGCATGCTGTCATGGGGTCCCCGTTGCTGCCCTTTGAGGCAGGCAGGGCAAAATGACCTTCGCCTTAACACAGACGGGCAAACTGGGGCCTGGCTCGCTCAGGCCGCACCAGGCTGTGCACTGGAGTAGGCGGCTGAGTCTGGGTCTTCTGTCCCATAGTTACGAGAGCGGCGAGGGCTTGCTGCTCTCTTGGCACCTTTGAAAACGGTGCCCATTGGATCTCACGGTGCCATGAGGAGGCTGGGGCTTGGTTCTGCTGGGCCCGTGTTGGTGGAGGAGCCAGAGCTCAGGGATGGGCAGTGACTTGCAGGAGGCGATGCAAGTTTGGGGCAAAGGTGCCAGAGGCCTGGAGTCCAGGGGCAGGTCTTTCCTCCACACCAGGGAGTCCTGGCCTTGGGCAAAGGGTGGCCTTGCCCGAAGGCTGGGGATGGAGAGGACAGAAGAGGGCACCAGGCTGGGGTTGCAGATGAAGACCGGCGCCTGTCCTGGGCCGAGCCTGGTGCACGTCTGGTGCCACAAGCGGCCCCTGTTCGTGGCCTCATGCTCCAAACTGCTAAAAATAAAATGTGCAGTGGAATTTCCTCTGAGGAGGAAACAGAAACAGAGAAAACAAAATCCCAGCCCTGAGGGAACACTCGTCCTTCTGTCTGCGTCCGGGAAGTCTGGGGGTCTGTGGCGCTCCTAGCCGCCCTGCTGACTCAGGCCTTGTGTGCCGGGGTCAGCAGAGGGCCCTGTGGAGGGGCCCCCACGCGGGGACCTACGGGCCTCCAGGAATGTGAGCGCTCGGAGCGCGCCAGGAGCATGAGAGCCGCCTGTGTGAAGCTGCCGCACAGAACAGAGGGTGCAGCGCCAGGCAGGCCCACACCGCTGCGCTGGCACGAGGCTGCCTGAGGTCCTGGTGACGGCAGGGCTGCTTCTGCTCAGGTTTCAGCGGGTGTTGAGGGACAGGCACTCTCCTGTGACAGGGCAGACCCGGTCAGTCTGCCTCTGCCCGCCAGGCCTGCCCTCCTCTGCTCCTGGGCCACCTGCCTCTCTGGCAAGCTCTGCTCAGCTCAACGGCCGCCGCTTCCAGGAAGCCCAGCCTGATTCTCCTGGTTGAGAGTAGTCGTGCCCATTCCTGTTTTTCCAGGACTTAAGGCTGACTGTGCTATTTAAACCTGCATAAAGCATTTGGGGTGTTTGCCCGGGAGGCAGCAAAGTGGGAGATGCCATCGGCCTAGGAAGCGGGAGTTGGTGCCTGGCTTTACCTCCCTCTTGCTATGACTTCGGTCCAGGTACCCTCCTCCCGAGCCTCCATGTATCACCTACTGGTGAAACAGGGAAACACCGCCACCCACACAGGATGTCACAGGACCACTGAGGTTCCAGATGCGACGGCCAAGCTCAGCTGTGTAAGGGTTCAGGGGCTCGTTTCTAGGCATCACACATCAAAGGACACGGTGCACAGAGACTAAGGACAGATTCGAGGGGGCTGTGGTCAGCACCTTCCAACATGCAGGGCTGCCTCAGAGGAGAGCGGGCTGACTGACTTGCCTTGTGGCCTTAAGGGAGAGACCTCAGCTCAGTACAAACAAAGAGGAGAACAGAACGGTAGTCAGAGCCCCCCACGGCGGAACTGGTCATTTCTTGGAGTAATGAGCTTCTCATCACTGCGCAGACATAAAGCCACCTGGCAGGAACCCAGCACGAAATGGAAACTGGACTAGGCACCTTGACCTCCCGTCATTTTCTGATTCTAGAATGAGTCAAGGCATTGTCCTAAGCCACCGGCAACAGATGCCAGCTTGCCTTTGACCTTGAGTGGCCCCAGAGCGAAAGAGTGAGAGAAACCATTCCACTCACAGGGTCACAGGCAGTTTCTATCCACCGGTCGTCCCTTCTACAGGAAGGTCATTCCAGGCAAGAACCAAGTCTCTAACTAGGTCAACAGTAATCCTTTAATATCTGCTTCTTATGTTACCTACGGGGTCCATGGCTGCGATCGCTCCTTGGAGAGATGTTAATCTAATGAAGTCAGAGGATGAGGACAAACTGATAAGCAGATGGCATGGAAAGTGTCTGCAAGGACGGGGCCTCTGGGCTCAGCTCGGCTGGTCTCCAGCCTGACCTTCCACCCACCCCCATTCCCCAGGTTTCCCGGATGCACAAACTTCACAATTACCACGTATGCAAAGTGTTGACTTATAATCACCTGCTTTCCTTCGGTCAAAAGTCCCCCCAAATTCCCATCAGGGTCAGGAGCTGGAGTGCCCTCTGGTCTTTCCACTAGGAGGCTTTGTGTGGGAGTCAGACCACTGGCTCATCCCACCCCCCAGCCTTCCATTGGGGGTACAGTGATGACTGCTTCAGATGGGAGGTGTGGGGGTGGAAGACCCATGCTGCTCTGAGGTCCCCCTCCCACCCTGTTGCCTGTTATAGTGTCTGTAATTCCATCTTAGAGTCACTTCATTTGGTTTAAGACAGCAAGTTTCAAACTGTGCCCTGCGGGGCCCCCTCGGAATCCCAGAGCCCCCCAGGGGCCGGGGAAGCTGGGGTGACTGAGGACAGAGCTCCAGACTCCCCCTGAATCAGAGCTCTTCCACTGTCATCAGATTTCACGTTAACAAAGAGGAAAAAATTAAAGCCACTGGATTAAGAGGTATTCACATATCTCTTCTCTATATTATCCAAGAGTTGTACGATGACTGTGTATTCATTTTGTTAAGAGGTCCAAATAAAACAAGTTAAAAACAATAGCCCTGGCGTATTCAAGCAGGCAGGGCCTCAGGAAGCATCCAGCCCTGCCCTTCCTTGTGCAGGGAAGGGCAGCAGCCCGCAGAGAGTTATGGGTCTGCTCACGCCTCTCACGGTTAGTGCACTGAGAGGGCCGACCGGGGGGCAGGGAGTTACCCCATGGATCTGTTTGTGTGCTCTCAGCGCACTGTGGATGATGAAGTCCTGGGAAAACGTCCTGGATCCTTACTAAGCTTTCTCTTGAGGGCCTGTGGGGAGGGAGCTGCTGAGAAGAGGATGGGAGAGTCCTCAAAACCAGCTCTGGCAGAGCAGGAAATTCCCCCAACTCTCTGAACAGGGGGCCAGAGAGGAGAAGGGAGGGGAGGTGTGGGTAGGAGGGAGAGCCCCCTGCTAGTCACCGACTGGTCATCTGACATCACAGGCCCTGGAAAGGCCTTGCAGAGCAAACGCAGCCTCTTCCTTTCACACATGGACAAAGAGGCCCAGGAGTTGTCTTGGCCGTGAAATGAATTATATAGAACCAACCCTGAACATCAGGCACCTGACCCCTGTGCTGGGCTCGAGGCAAGGGGGGAGCCTGGGAAAGGAGCGAGGGCATGAGGATGGCTGAGCAGTGAGGCCCTGGTGATCGGGGAGCTTCGCAGTGGATGTCGGGGTCCCATGTGTAAGACGAGGGGTGAGATTTAGAGCAGTGGTTCTTACATTCTTACAGCTTTGGATTCATGGATCAATACAAGCTTTTTTTTTAAATTGGGAGATTAACATAAATATTGCCATCTTTTTATTTTGCCAAGTAAAGGCTTTACCAAAAATTCTATCATTCACTGTCACTATCATTTCATTCATACAAAGACATGTGTAAGAAGAGCACAATCTCAGAGTAAAGGTTGATTCCATCAGTGGAAAGAATTTAGTTATATACAAAACACACTACCATTTCCTTATCTGTATCATTCTGGTCAGCATGTGGGAACCTCTGGGCGGGACAGATGACCTGTGAGGGTCTTTTCAACCCGAAGGGCTGGGGTTCTAAACTGGGAGGCCTGAGAACGTGTCTCTGGCCCCTCACACTTGCAAGGCCATCTCTTACTCCTAGGAGCACAGCTTGGCTGAGCCGCAGAGGGGAGCTGGGAATGGCCTCTCCTTGTCTGAGGGCAATCAGGGGCAGGAAAAACTCTCTAGATCAAGAGTTGGCCAACTATTTCTGTAAAGGGCCAGAGAGTAAATACTTTGAGCTTTGAAGCCTGTGCTGCAACTAGTCACGCCTGGTGTCGCAGGGCAAAAGCCACCACACACAATTCATCAGTGAGTGGGGGTGGCTGTGTGCCAATAAAACTTTATTTATGGACATGGAGGTCTGAATTTCATGTGTCACAAAATATCATTCTTTGTTTGATTTTTTTTTTTTCTTAACTATTTAAAATATAAAAACCATTGTTAGCTCATGGGCTGTGGAAATGCAGGTGACACGCTGGATGTGGCCTGCAGGCCGGAGGTTGCAGGCACCTTATCTAGACTGTCGTCCTCACCCTGAATCTGTCACAGATCAGCCAGGCAGCTCTGGGCCAGCTGCTTCATCAATGTGTCGTCAGTCTCCTCACTGTTTACAAACCTCAAGACACAGATGCAGGTGCCTGTTAGGGACTGTGAACAGCTGTTTACTTAGCCTCAACCTCGACAAATGAAGAACATGGACAAATACCCTTTCCTGGCTGTGCCAACGTACCTTATCCTGAGACATGAGGCTTCCTGGGCTTACAGATTGGGGGTTGTCTCCTCTGCATTTGGGACAGATCCGATCCTCGCTGTTTCTAGAGACACGTAAAAAAACCCAGCTGAGTGAGGCATTCATGACTGCCTGGCACCAACCTCTGTCCCAATAGCTCCAAAAGCCGAGGCCTTGCCCAGCGTGGTGCCTGATACCAGTGAGCATGCAGGCCCACCATCCTAGACCCCCCATTCCCAAACCTCAAAGCACTGGACACCCAATGTCTTCCTGGAGTTTGCAGTGAGCTTCTTCGGCAGCCGCACCTGACCCGCCCGAAGTGACTGGAGGCTGTTCCAGCCCTTATCCCACTTAGAGTGAATACTGATGTTTCATTGCAGAAGTATGAACAGGCTTGGTGAGTAAGTAGGTGCTGCCCCAGTCCCCACTGGGAGAATTACATAGTAATGCACTGACTAGCTTTTCTGAAATCTGAATTCCAAAATATGTCTGAGACAGGGCTTCAGGTAAGGGATTATGGATGTGTGGCTGCATTTGTTCTTAGGCTTAGGGTCTCTTTTTTAGGCATTAGAGAGGACCATGGCCAATTAGAACAAGAAGGGGCCTCAGAAAAAACCTAGCCTGAGGCTCTTCACCAGGAGTAGGTGTCAGACTCTGGCCAGGTGACACGGGCCTGTGGGCGTTTACAAAGCTCCGAAGTAATTCTGATCCACAGTCAGAGCCACCTGTCAAAACATGAGACCTCAGAGGACGCAGGGATTGGCTAAGGATAGGCAGAGTCAGCAGCAGAGCAGGGCAGAGCTCGCTACACCTCAAGCCTGGGTCCCTTCCCCACCGCTGCCAGGTTTCAGGATGATGAGGGAGGGAAGCCAAGAATCCCAGTGCAGAAGCCTGAGATGAACCCACAACAATCAGCTTGATGGTAAAAGGAGTCAAGCTTCGACAACCCCACCCCCACAACCTGGCCTTTCCGTGGCCACAACTTCTCCCTTCCCCCTGCATCAAAGCACTTGAATTTCTCAAGCTAGACTGATTCAGTTTTCCCACCTTAAGCTGTAAAGCCCCAAACAAAGGTCATGCTGGGGGCGTATGGCAGTTAAAGAGCACTTTTGCCAGGAAATTGACCTGGGGCAAGTTGACCTAATCTCTCCATTAGGTTTCGTTGTCCTCATCTGTAAAATGGGACAGTAATAGTGTCCACCTTTCCAAGGTTCTTCTGAAGACCCAAGAAAAGAGGCACACAGTAGGCTTGAACTGGTTGCTTAAGGTGAAATGCTGATGATTGTATGGATGTCACACCTCTATGAGTTATTGATATTTTAAATATTTTATATATGTAAAGCATGTATTTATATAAGTATTCATATCTGCATATTAAATGTAAATATATACAAATTCAACTATATATACAAATACATATATAAGTATTTACGTTCATACTATTCTACATATATAAATATACCATCTATCAATACATACATATATAAATGTAGATATCTTTGTTCCCTTTAACAGTGTCCTCAGCAAACAGCACAAGGTGATGGGCAATATTGTGGAAGAAGATATATTTGTATAGCAGTTCATCATTTACTAAGAAAAATTACCTTCATTATCACAAAAACTTTTGGAATATTATTGATTGTTCCTCTCAATCCTGGGAGGTAGAAAATAGCTTTTACAGATGAGGAAGCTGTGGCTTCGAGCACAAAGCAACCTGCCCCAGCCCCTGTCAGTTAGGAGCCCGCTGGGCCTGAGCTCTCCCCGCCCTGGACAGCCCTCTGCTGAGGCAGCTGACATCTGTTTGTGGCTACTTCTTCCATCCATAGTCAGAAGGAGAAGTATTAGGGGCTGCAGGGAAAGGCTGTGGAAACTGAGGCCCAGAGAGGTGAAGTTACCTGCCCAAAGCCACCAGCTCCTCCCACCCTGGTCTCCCACCAGGGGGTCCCTCCCTGGCACTTTCTTCCCACCCACTCTTTGCTCTTGTGACCCCTCACCTCAAGTTCTCAGAGAGACAGGCGGTGCAGCAGAGGGCCCTGGGCTCTGATGGGTCCTGGCAGACGGTGGGGGGGCACCCAAAGGGAAACTCGTTCTCATCAGGGGCTGGGCGAGGGCTGCTGGCTGAGCCAGAGGCCATCCTGGGGTCCCAGGCTGGCTGGGGCCTGCCTGAGCTCAGGCCCGTGGAGTCTGCGCCGAGAGAAGAGGTGAGTTCTGGTGAAGGCCACCCTCTCCGGTGAGCAGGAGTCTGATGACTTTATCTTCTCGCTGACTTGTGTGGGTCAACGTCACAGCTGAATCACAGCAGGGATGGGGCAGGAATTACCCTTTGTGGTGGAAAAAACCCCCTGGATGCCGACTGAAGGCTCTAGGAGTGTCCAGTCATTCTTTAGAGTGACAGAGAGCAAGAGGACAAGTCAGAGAGAAAAACGGTCCTGTCACAGACTTTCAGGAACCACAGTCAGAGTTCCCCTGTCAGAGAACCTCAGGCTGCCCCTGACTTCCTCCAAGCTCCTCCCCAGGGGACACTGGTAGGGAGCCACAGCTGGTGACTTGTCTGCTTTCCCTGGGACCTCCGAGCAGCCTGGAATTCTTGGTGTGGGTGAAAATCCCTAGGTCCTGGTGGCAGGTCCAAAAATGCAAGTTCCAGGCATTTGATCTCTGCCCTGGCCAGTGTCTCAGGTAAAAGTCACTTCCTCACAGTGGGTCTTGGTTACCCCATCTGTTAAAAAAAAAAAAGGAGTTGCAACAGGTGGTCTCCAAGGCTCCTCTGGGCGCTGAGTCTGGAACCCTAGGGCCAAGGCAAACAGAGCTAGCAGGCGGCTTCTGATGGCCCCGCCTGTGGCATTCCTCATCAGTCATGATGACAACACAGGCCCTCCCCTCCTTTCAAGTCCAAGGCCTCAGAAACATACACTGCTCAGGGTGCTTCGCAGGGCCCCACTCAGGAAGTCACAGGTGGCCATATTCCCAGGTCAGGCACCACACTTTCCGGCTCTGAGGAGAACAAAGCTCTAAATAAATACTAGGTGCAGGGAGTTGGTCTAAGTGGCCCAGTGGGACACAGATCCACTGCTGTGCGGGAACTGTGGCTCCTAGCGCGTCTACAGTGGGCAGGGCATTTTCTTTCCTATTCCTTACAGCAACTGGCCACACAGAGACATAGAGAAGCAAGATGACTGGTCCAAAGTCACAAAGCCCCTGGTGGTGAAGCAAGATTCGCACCAGGTCTGTGGGACTCCAAGCTCTGTGTTCCTTCACCCATACAAGAGAGAAGAAAGCAAGGCCTACAGAGCCCGGGATGGAGGGCAGAGCATGCAGCCTGTTTTCTCACCTGTCAAGTGGAAAAGATGATTCCTTGACATCTTTCTAGCCTGCTGGACTGCTAGTAGGGGCTCTGCAAACTTTAAAAAAAAAAATTTTTTTTCTTTATTGATTTTAGAGAGGAAGTGGGGGGGGGGAGAGAGAGAAACATTGATGAGAGAGAACATCAACTGGCTGCCTCCCACAAGCCTCCAACCCCCAACTGGGGCTTTGGCCCACATACTGGGCACGTGCTTTGACCAGGAATTGAACCAGCGACCTCTTGGTGCATGGGTTGATGCTCAACCACTGAGCTACACCAGCTGGCCAATCTGCAGACTTTTATAATGGTTTCAAATCATGGGCTTTGAGGTCTGACAAATCTGAGCTTAGATCTTAAGTCCACCATTTACTAGCTGTGCATCCTGGGACAATGTCGTTAACTTCTGAACCTCAGTTTCTGCATCTGTAAAATGGGAATAATAATAATACCTACTTCACCTGACTGTTGTGACTAAATTAGATCATAGGTGAGAGTGTGATACACGGCTCAACTGAGGTGCTCAAAAGGCTCGGACATTGTATTCCAGTGATGGTCACAGCCCTCCCAGCTCCTCATGGTCAAGGGAGGGGATTAAAATGGTAAATGCTTATATATAGTGTTTATACATCCATCAACTTTATTTGAGCTTTCAAGTGAGCAAGGCAGGTCAGATGTCCTCTGACCCAAGATAAATTCAACACCCCACCTTCCCTGCAGCAAAACAGGCTACCAGGGGCTGTTGGCAAAGAGGGCATGGTACCCTGGCGCTGCAGTTTAAACCAGGACCTCTACCCTCCCCTGGGCTAGCCCTGGCCTGGCCCCCTCAGCAATGACCTTGAGGCCTACTTCAGACAAGACTATCAGAAAGGCAACCCCTTAACCGCCTACTCCAAACTTGCAAATTGCCTTGCAACCCTACCTGTCCCCTCCTTCCCTTGGTTTGATATAGACAGGCATCCAAGACTTCCCTCCCCATCGAAGTTCTGGGTCCCTTTGTACCTAGTCCCTTTTCTCTCTCCCCTGTCTTCAATGCTCCCTCTCTACCAGCTCCTTCCCTTCAGCATCAATATATGCCCCAGCTGCTCTAAACACAGACGTGAAAAATAGTAAGCACTACTGTTTAGTGCTGCCTGAAGTACTTATGCCATCTCCGCTGATCTTCACATGGACCCTATGAGGCAGGTACTGTCATCACTATCTGGAAGGCACAACGAGGTTAAGTGACTTGCCCAAGGTCTCCTAAACCCGGAGCCTGTGCTCTCACCACACACACCCGGCTTTAAAACGCTCTTCACCCTCACCCCAATGTCCTCTCCTGCACCTACACGCTCTCCTCACTTTACCAGAACTTCTGAAAGCGGTGCCTACACAGGGGCTCCATCCACTGCCTTCAGGGGCATCTCCATGGAACCACCTCCCCAGGGTTCTCAATGTCAAAGTCGCCAGGCGCTCTGGGCCTGCCCCAGTTCTCATCCAACCAGCCGTCTCTGGCCGGCACCCGACACGACTCTGGGCTCCCCCGTTAGCATTCTCTTCCCTTCTGCACCGCCAGAGTCGTCTCCGTGGGATCCTCAGCGCGCAGCCTCCGCGCCACCCCCACCTCCCCCAGTCTTCCACTCGGGTCAGTGTGGACCTGACGCCACCTCTCCTTGGCGTCTCCGTATGATGCTCCCAGGATGGGGCTAGGAACCCTTCTTTGCGATTCTGTCGAGTCCCGCACCCCGGGTCGCTTATGTGCCCCCCAGCTCCGTCCCCCACCCGGGCAGGTGACTGTCATCTCGCCACCGCCACCTCTGCAGTGAAGTTGGCAGCAGAGCCGCGCCCGCGCCCATTCTAGGATGAGCGAGCCGGGGTGCCCCGGGCGCCGCAACAAGGGCTGGGGCAGTGAGTCCCGGGTGGGCTCTGCAGCTGCGACGCCAGGTCCCGGGCCACGCGTGGGGAGGCCTGCACCGGGAGCCCGGGGCTGAGCGAGCCGGGCCTGGGCAGTCCAGGGCGGGGAGCGCGGGGCCGGGGGCGGGGGCGGGCACCGCCCGCTGCCCCGGGGCGAGGTGGGGTGGGGTGGGGTGGGGGCGGGGGGCGGGGTGCAGTGCAACCAACCTCGGCGTCTCCGCCGCAGCCACCGCCTCCCCGCCGCCCGGCGCCAGCTTCCGGTGGGGCCCCGAGGACGTGGCCGGGCGGCGGAAGCCTGGGGGGGGCGGGGCGGGTCTCCGCAGCCGGAGCGGGCCTGGGAGGCGGCCGGGGGCGGGGCGAGCGCTCCGCCTGAGGGGAAACTGAGTCCCGGGGTGGGGACTGTGGCGTCGTCCTGTTCTCCCACTGGGGACTGACAGGCGTCCATTCCCCTCCTCCCTTCTCCCTGTTCCTGGCTCACAGGGACTCAGTCAAGTGTTCACAGAATAAACGAATCCAGACAGATTGGGACTTGAACCCTCACCCTCAACCCTGCCTGCCTGAAACCTGCGTGGAGAGGGGGTGAGCCCGAGCCTGCCCTCTGATTGCTGCAGAGCCTAGCACAGTGCCAGGCGCCTGCAAGCTTATTGGGTTGCTACAGCCCGCAAAGGGGTGGTTCGAAGGCAGGTGCTTTGACAAAACTGGGTGTTTTAAGGAACCGTTTCTGTTTTTGTCTAAACACACACATAATATACTTACTCCCTATGAATTTGTGTGTATCAATCAAAATAGTTACGGAACTTAGTATTGGAGTAGAATTTTTGTTTCTAAGATACTAACAACCTATATTCTTGCTTTTTTTTTTTTATCCTCACCTGAGGACATTTTTTCATTTTTTTGTTCAGATAGAGTGGGAGGGAGAGAGAGGAAGAGAGAGAGAGAGAGAGAGAGAAAGAGAGAGAAACATCGACTTGAAAGGGACACATCGAGTGGCTGCCACCCGCACGACCAACCAGGGCCGGGGACAAACTGCAACCGAGGTACGTGCCCTTAGCGGGAACTGAACCCGGGTCTCTCTGTACCGCAGGCCAACGCTCCAACCGCTGAGCCAAACCGGCCAGGGCTTTTTTTTTTTTTTCCAAAGAGAGAATCTTTTTTATTTTTATTTTTATTTATTTATTTTTTATCCTCACCCGAGGACATTTTTCCATTTTTTGTTCAGATAGAGCGGGAGGGAGAGAGAGGGAGAGAGAGAGAGAGAAACATCAATGTGAAGGGACACATCGAGTGGCTGCCACCCGCACGACCAACCAGGGCCGGGGACAAACTGCAACCGAGGTACATGCCCCTAGCGGGAACCGAACCCGGGTCTCTGTGTACCGCAGGCCGACGCTCCAACCGCTGAGCCAAAACGGCCAGGGCTATTCTTGCATATTTGATAAGGACTCCTCCATAGAGCCCTCAGGTCTGTCCGCAGGACTGTCAGCTGAGGGAGGAGTGAGGCTGCCTGCTGGTTGGTTTGGTTTTGTTTCGGTTCTTCAGAGGCACCCATTACATTCTCTTTACGAATCAGGGTTCCATTTTCTGTCTTGACACCCAACTGGAGTTCAGAACTGTGTTTTAGTTCTCTGTTTTTATTTGTTTTTTTTGTTAACCCTCACCAGAGGATATTTTTTCATTGATTAGACAGAATGGGCAGGAAGGAAGGAGGGAGAGAGAGAGAAACATCATAGATTGGTTGCCTCACGCATGACCCTGACCAGGGCTGGGGATCGAACCTGCAACCCAGGTACCTGCCCTTGACTGGGAATCGAACTTGAGACCCTTTAGTCCTGGGACCAGCGCTGTAACTAACCGCTGAGCCAATCCGGCAGGGCCTTTGTTTTTAAACCTGGGAGTATTCAAGCCCCCTACCCAGGGCAGAGCTTCTTCCAGCCTCTTGCTGAGAAGCTGGTGCTGCAGGACTGAGTCCCTCTGGTGAGTAGGGCGCACACCGGGTCTGGACGAGCGGAGGCTCTCGGGGACCTCCAAGACAGGCAGTTCGTGGGAAGTTGACCAGAGGTGGCCTCTGTGGGACCTTTCAACTCTAAGAGAAAAAAAGGATTCAGAGTTTGGAGTCTTTGATTTAAAATGTCACTGATTCTCAGTCTACTTCATGAAGGGTTTGGGACCTATAAAAGCCATTCTCGGGTCCCAGTTTCTCCCACCACCCCTTCCTCTCCGCCCCAAGCCAGTGTAGTGAGTGGGCAACCTGACCTCACTCTCTTCATGTGCCACATCCTGTTTTCAGATTAATGAGCTCATTTGGTGGAAATTTACCAAGGGAAATAGTTTAATTTTGGAAAGTACCAAAAACTTATCTGCAGTCACTTGGTTTATTTTGGGGGGCTCTTGAACGAGAGGGGGCATCACCGGGGGACCTCTGAGCATGCAGGGAGCAGTGAGGCTGCAGAAATCGAAAGCCAGGCCTCATGGGGCTGAACCTGACTCAGAAAGGAAATGAAACCTCTTGGAGATCACTCATGTCTACCCAGGAGAAAAAAAAAAATTTTTTTTCCAAAAATAAGTTTAAAAAGAAAAGTAGTCCATCTGGCGAAGGCCTAACATCTGGTGGTCTAAGCTTGGGGCCACGATTGAGGAACCAGAAAGCAAACCCAGGGAAGTCGGGCATGCTGGTGCCTCCGAGTCCCTTTCACATCCACGTCTGCTCTGCCTTCAAAGGGGCACGGAAAGGCTTCCATTCTCCAGTTTTGCCCCAGTTCTTTCGCCGTTAATTTCCTGACATCGAAGTTGCCCGCCTAGGAGCAAGGGAATGGCCAGGAGGACGCAGATGTTAAAGTTCTGTGACCCGCGCTCCATCCAGGATGGTAGAGCACATGTGACTAGCCCCCTGAATGTCTGACCACCTTCTGGCCTGTCGTATTTCCCAGAGTAGAGCTTTCTAACCCTTTTTCAGATGCAGGATAGAAAAATGGTGAAAACTGACAAAACTCTGACAGTTTAGCACTGGGATGAAAGGAATCGTGTCTCTCTTCAGTCTGCCCCCGTCTGAAACCTGTAGTGACATACTGGAGGACATATTTATATATCGAAATGAGCCCTGGCCGAGGAGTCAGGAGACGCATGTTCTGCCCCCCCCTCCCCCGGCCAATAAATCCGTTTTTGGGGGGTGAGGGGTAGAATGGGAAGATAAAGAAATGAATGCTTAAGTAATAATTTAAAAAATTTAAGTTCATAGATTTTTTAAAGCAGAAAGTGATCATAAAGAATGTGCTAGCGCCCTGGCCGGTTTGGCTCAGTGGTTACAGCCTCAGCCCATGGTTCAGAGAAAAGAATGTGTTAGGTTTTTCAAACTTTGTATTAGCTGTAGGACTGTGTCTTTGAATGTGTTCTCACTTGGAGCCCAAATATGTAAACCAGCCGGAAGCTGAGATGCTTTGTGAAACAGAGCACGTGGCCAGGAGTCTGTGCACTGGGCTTCTCTTCACCCCATCCTGACCTCTGGCTCTGGGGACGCAGTTTGAAAATCATGAACCTTAAAAAAAAAATCATGACCCTAATGAAATGTGAAAACTGGGATTCTCTCCTAGCTCGCTTGCCTCTGCTGTCCCAGCCTGTTCAAGCTTTTCCCTGACAACTGCCTTTCCATGTGCTATAGTTCAGGATGCTGGTAGCCAAGGGCGTTAGAGGAGGGAGAGATTACACTGGCCTGGGGGAGGCAGGACCAGATGAGAGCGTAAGCATCTGGAGGACTGGGGCCCGTGCTCATGCTAAAAATGCTAACAGAGACAATACTAGTGACTACCCTTTGTTTAATCTCAGAGACTGCTCTAAGCATATCACATGAATTGCTCTATTTATTAAAATCACCAAGAAGAGGTGAGAAAACTATTTTCTACTGTCCAGATGAGAAAAGTAAGGCTTAAAGAGTTCAGTCACTTGGTCAAAGCTAAGCAGCCAGAATTTGGCAGCACTGGGGGTGGGAAGGGCAGTCATTCAGGCTTTGCATGTTTTTTCCACATGTTCAGACCAAGCTGGGATCTCACCTGTTCCTCGCTGGCGAGCTGTGAGTCATTTGCCTGCTCTGGCCTCAGTTTCCTCATTTGTCAGGTGACAAGAATGGAACAGATACTCCCCCGGATCTTTTGCACACTGTCACTCTCGGTTCATGAAATCCAGGCCTGCAGTACAGGTAGGGGAAGGGGGCCACTCTCTAGCCTCTTCATTCTTGACATTTCTTTAAGAGACAGATCGATATCTTCTTCGGGGGAGAGGGGAAGAGCCAGTCATTGTGACCCACACTTGCTTTAAGAGTCAGGAGGAGAGTCTTTCCCGAGGGCATGTTGGGAGAGGAGAAGGAAATTGACTGTCCAGTCTGGGGGAAAAGTAGGCTCCAGGAAGGGGTGAAAGGGATGGATGGTGAGTCACAGTTGCTGCAGACATTTTCATTTGCTTCACCCCACACATACTTACTGTGAAGGTACATAGTGTGTTTGGTCCTGAGCAAGGCCCCAGATTATAGCTGTGAATGAGTCAGACAGGGCTCTTCGTCTCATGACTGCTACGTCCTAGATGTGAATGAACCAAGTGAGTGCATTCAGTCAGCTGACGACAGCCATGCTCCTGCTCGTCCACAACCCTTCAGATGTGGAGCCCAGAGTGGGCTACCACTCCCTGTGCTTATAAAAACCAAACGCTCCCAATTCTGCCCGCCTCATGCCTTGTCCTGGTCGTATTTATGGCTTATGTTTAGTACAAACAATTAGTGAACAGCTTTCCTGTTAGCATCATCTTAAACTCTGATAACTTCTGATTCCTGAAGCAGAAAATTTAGTTAAATGGATGATTGATTACAGGTTATCAGTCACCTGGTAGATTGGAAGACCAAATGGTACTGGGTTCTTCAACCCAAATTCAGTACCTCCCTGAGGTAACTTATACAAAGCCAATATCAACAACAAAACTAAGAAATACACCAAATGATCTTGTAAAAAGTATAGCCTATACTATTCATTTTCTGCTTTGGTGATGATTAAGAATGCCCAAGTTTCTTTCTATTAATCTCCATCTTGGTTTTTATTACACTTATTTTAACTGACAATTTAAGAAATGCACCTGTTTACAAGTTCTTTTCTTTTTGCCCCACTAGAATATGTGAATTATATTAATTAAAACTGTTAAAGTAAAGCTGTGTCTTAATTCTTCATTATTGTTTTCCCAGGCGTAGCTCAGTGCTAGGCACACAAGAGGC